AAAAAAAAAAAGTCCCATGCAAAACTCTGATGACAGTACTTCCACGTGGTAGTGCAAACAGCATAAATGTAACTACAAACAAAGGGGAAGGGAACAGGCTTGGTCTCCAGAGTCATTAAAAGTAAAGAGAAGTTTGTTCAGAGACACTCTTTTTTTTTTTTTTTTTTTAGTATGGCCATGCATCTCCCAGCACAGAGAAGACATGCAAAAGCTTATAACCTTTAAGCTTACCGTAGAAAATACCATATCATTCAGACTCTTTATGTAGGCTGTGAACATGATTTTGGTTTACAACAAAAACTCCTACAGAGCATAGAACAAAAACAACATCATTCCACCAGGATAAACAATAGCAGTGCAACATTTATGCCTTAGCAAAGTCAATCCCATAACATGAAGCATGGGATCAAAACTTCTACTTCAGCTACTTTTTTTTCTGTACCTTATTCCTACTTAAAATTACACTCACCCTTCAATGAAATTCAGAGGGAAAAAAGTCTTCACTACTGCACACACACCAGTTTGTACAGACTTAGATCCACAGCGTGATGCATGTCTGACACCAGACTGTGTTGTGTTTAATCCTCTTCACCTCCACTCTCAAACTGAACAGTGCCAGAGTGTGAGAAAGTGGCAGAGGAGTTAGGTTCTGCCCCTGCAGAGGAGCATGCACAGCCCAGTGGTGCGTTCAAGTGCGCCTCGTAAAACCTTTTGAAAAGTGGCCATTGTTTTTTTGTTGCTGCATAAAATATTTCAGACATTTTGGATAAAAAAAAAAAATTACTTTTTGTTTTGTTTTTTGTTGCTGCATAAAATATTTCAGACATTTTGGATCAAAAAATAAATTGATTAATCAACGTTATACCTTGGCTATTTTTATGGTAATATTTGAAACATTTTTGGATGACTTTTCCCTAATTTGGGGCTATCTTTTAGAGACCTCTTGGCTTTTGTATGAGATTTTCATCAATGATTTTTGGTTTATCAACTAGCTTAGATTATTTTTGATCTATTTCTGACCATATTTGGGCAAACTTGACTATTTTCAGTCATTTTTGGGCTAGTTTTTAGTGTTTTTTCATCATTTTTGAGATGAAGAAGGGGAAAAAGCACGAGAGAGTACAAAAGCTGTAGTTTAACAACTAAGTGGCTCACTTAATATTAATGCAATTAGATTCTTCCACGTACCACTAGAGGGAGCCCAAGTACCACTACAGGTACATATACCACAGTTTAAGAACCACTGGTCTAACAAATAGTGAGAAGATTTAAAAAGAGCAACTGCTGTAGTTATCAGTGGTCTGGATTTTTCTTTTTCTTTTTCTTTTTTCCGATACATTTTAAGCTACGAGTGTCATACTGTATGTTTGGTTTGGGTTTTTTCTGGCACAGCTTTTCGACACTTCAAACTAACAGTCAGCTATTAAGACTAAATTATCTAAATTGTAGGCATGGCATGTATGCAGCAGATAATTCTTTAATAGCATGACCTATAATTAGTGACATAACTATTGCACTATTATAAACTATATCTGGTCTGTCTTTTTCTGTAGCCTGTCTTTGACTGGCTGCTCACAAAAAACAGGAAAAGCTTGAGAGAGCACACTTCACTCAATCAAAGCCACATACTGCAGTTGATTAACATATAGGAATAATAAGGAACACTGAACATTTACTCACACGATTAAACATGGTCAAAACCATGAACTCAAAAACATCATCAGCATCTATTTTAGTTTTAGATTTTTGTACATGCTGCAAATACAAACTCGCTGACATAATAAAATAGAATTTTAGGTAAATCTTGTGGGGGAAAAAAACAGCACTTACAAGTGTTGACATGTCACAGCTTTTGACAAAATGTCATTAAGCTGTCAAACGTGTTCCACCAAACTGTAGGTGAAAACTCTTAGTCATCCATGTCAGTGTCCTCAGGAGTGCCAAACAGGGCACACGGCCTTGACAGACACTTCTAAAACCTCTCTCACTGCTCATAAAAGAGGAATAAAAAGAAGTTAACACTTCCTTTTTTTAAATTTCACTTTCACTAAGTATAATAGTTGCAGTCGTGTTGTTTAAGATTTCAGTTTTTTCAAAGATGAGTTGGCCATCAGCAGGTATTTTCAGACTACTGTTGCCAGGAGAGGAAAAGATAACCGGAGCTGTAATTACATCTCTGAACGCCTCAGTAGATGAAAAAGAAAATTATGAAATAATTTAACTGTAAAAGTAATAAATGGTCTACGTTCTAATTATATCATAGAGTTGCTAAAAAAAACAAGTTGCAAATTTACTTAAATACCCCAGGAGTTGCAAAGGTGTTTAGTTGCTGTGCAAAAATGTGCAGAAAACAACAGTTAAACGTTTATTTCTTCCCCAAAACCCTTAAATGTATTCTCATATCGCAATTTTTAACTATAATCTTGTTAAAGATTAGAGTTTTCTACTCATAATACAACTTTATTTCTTTAAGACGTATGACTTGATTCCTAAAATGTTCGTATTTATATGGTCGTACAACTCCTCAGCTTTGTTTTTAATATAAAAATGGAGCAGAAAAAATACTGTAATAGTTTTTTATATGAGATATAGGTGTAAATAAATTAAAATGATTTTGAGTTTTAAATTTGTCGTAGTGATACTGGCCGAGTTAGTACTAAAACTCCCTACGTTTCACAACAGCATTTGAACATACCAAGTGGGCCGTGTCCAAACAAAGTTTTCCAGCGGACGTGACGTAGCAGCCTGTTAGATTAACTTTCTTCGTCTTTTCCACATTTGCCTGTATGTCCTTGTGTTTCAGTTGGCGGGCAGTCAGCCTTTCCATGCCGCTGAGTTCGACAAACTTAACCCTTTACTTTCTAGAAGTTCTGAACCAGTCGTTATTGTTCAGACTTCATTAAAAAAAAAAAAAAAAACAGGTAACGGGTAAGTGATGCGTTCATGTTACATTTAGTTTCAGGTCATTTTTACAGCTGGAATTGACTTGAAAAACTGGACTTTGTATTTCGGTGACACACAGTATATTCCTTGCTCTGTTGGGACATTTCCGTGATATTCAAAGTTGTACAAAACTGTTCAAAAATATATATACACAGTATATTCCTTGCTCTGTTGGGACAATTCCGTGATATTCAAAGTTGCACAAAACTGTTCAATATATATATATATATATATACAAAACGTTCCCCGTCGCTCACAACAAACCTTAACAAACCGGCCCCGCTGCTTTGAACTCATTTCTATTTGTTTATTAAGCACCGTCGGTGAAGATGGCATCTGCAGAAACTTCCTGCAAGCTATTAGATCGTATCTTAAACACACACACACTGTAAGAGAAATGAAGATATTGATCATACCATGACTAAAGCTCTTGTCTGTGTCCAAGGATAAACCACGCTCCTGCAGGAGAAGTCTTTCTTCGACAACAAACGCCTCCCTTGTGTACCTTCGGCTTCCAAAGGCGACCTGTCTTCAGGCTGAACAGCAGAGAGAGGAGAACAGGGGGAGCTCCCTGTGATTAATATTAACACCTGAAATGACTCAAGGTGACTCCTCCAGAAGTCTCAAGCAGCTCAGGTTCCCATGGTTAATGTTGCTTTAAGAGTTTGAAAGTAAAAATGGAGTTATTTTTTTCTTCTTCTGCTTTTCTTCCTCTCCAAACAGCTGAAGTAATGAGGTGGAATCTGCCCCGGCCAGGCACACACACCCGAGGCTGGCGTCCTGACACATTGTGCAACAGTGTCACAGGGCCACAGGTAAAGGCAGGCGGAGATGTGGAACATACTCAAACACACACACACAGTGGTTTTAACAGATGTTCTGGATTCTGTCACTAAGTATATATGTGTATGTTTTATTAATTTACGGTCATTAGAATTTACTTGGACCAAATAAGCCTTTAATATTAGAGCAGTTAACCCTAAATGTTTTATTTTTTGTTGTTGTTTAACTTGAGACATATCTATGTCACCAGAAGAGTGGTTGGTCCTCAGGTACAGCGTCTGGCACCTCTGTCGTTTTACAAGCCCTAATCCTAATATTTTATTATTTTACACTGAGGCTGTGTCTCACTTCTGCTCCCACCTTTAAAATCAACAGGTAAAGGGCCGTTATTCCAGGCCAAAGCCTTTTACTCCCCTCCCCCCCCCCCCCCCGCTCCCCCGTCTCTCTCCGTAGGTTTTCTCATGACTTATTCATGTCCAACAGAAACTGAAACCATTCTCTCTCTGCAGCACATAAAAAATTTAGACTCATCCTTTTCCCCCCAAAAAAATCTTTTGCTCTATTCAATAATAAAGCAACCGCAGGGAATACAAATTTGGACCAGTGGGGCAGAATAATTTTTCTACACAGTATGATAAGACTCTCTGAATCCCCACATTTAAAAATAATAAATTGTGGGGTTTTATTTTTTACTAAATGTGAACTGCTTAAAACAGGATACAGACAGACTGTTTGTTATGGTAAACAATGCAGGTGTCCCCACCCTGCCCCGCTACAGGATCTTAGTTTCATCCCAGGTCTAGGTGTGAATGTGGGATTAACTGAAGAAGCACTTTAGATGAGAACTCAGATGAAAGCTGAACCAGTCCACTTGGGAACAGGAAATGGTGTTGATGGATTTTGACTCATCTTTGAGTAGTACTGCTGTGTTTTTCTCATCATCAGTCTTTCTTGTCATCCCTTTAAAGAAATTATATTTGAAATATTTCTTTGCAGGTGATGTGTTTGCCTCATTTGGAACGTCTGGTTCTCAAGGCGTCAGAATTAAAGGCATTGTGTGTAAATGATGGAGTTTTTCACAGTGAGGGGAGTGGTTGTCTCTCGCCTTTCTGGTTTTGAAACTAATTCAACAGATAGTGATCTAAACACGTTAGGAAACTTTAATGATTGTCCACCTGCGACTACTCCACTTATAGCACTAACCTGGACTGATTACCCCCCGCTGGAGAACTCATCGGTCACCAGTAATGGAAAAAATAGCAACAACCAGTGTGGGTGTTAACCACAGATGTGACTTCAATTAATAAGTTCCATAGCAACAACCAGTGTGGGTGTTAACCCCAGACGTGACTTCAATTAATAAGTTCAATTTGTGTTAATATTAGATTCACTTCTAATTGTATGTACAGGATGTGCAGAGCTTAAAGAAAGAAGTCTTGTCTTTTCATTCACAGTCAGGTTCGTCTCATTTGGCTACTCATTTGAATTTTGTCTCGTGTCTAGCGCAAACAAAACCTTGTCAAGGTTGAAAAACAAGAAGTTTCAGTGAAGTTTTGGAATACAGACGTAGGCCTTTTAAAATATCGTCATTTGTGACACACTAAGAATCAACTGGTTAGAATAGTTCACTGTGGAGTTCACGTTCTTAGGTTTCATTGACCAGTACAAATGTCAATACAATTAGAGGCTCCAGTTTGATATTATCTGGTTGTTTTCACTAGGATTTAGGTCAGAGGGACGTGCAGGCCCGTCAACGACCTCGTCTGAAACTGTCTGCTGATAAATCCAGACCAGGTTCAAAGTAATCTTTGTGTAGTTGTCACGTTGTAAGCCAGGGTTGGACAGTGATTAATGAATTACACTCAAAGTAATGTTGTTAAAAATGAAACACTTTGGTAAGTACCTTTGTCACCGCTGACACTGAAACACACACTCCTGGTTCCCAGGCAACACCTCTCCAGCCAAAATGTTCCTGTTTTATCTTCTGTGTTTACTTGGTATTCTTCCAGTTGTCCTCACCAGACTGCAGTTTGGTCATGGAGGTCTGATGAGCAGGGGGGGGATGTTTTTTTGGTCTGTAACCTCAGATCAGGGCCATATTTTTTAACCATGAACACCTTCATCTATTATCTTTATGTAGATACTGCTTTGATTAAAACCAGCAGCTAATGAAACCCTTAATTTAAGATTTTACTTTGAGTTAGAGCTATGATAATTATGTTTGATTCTCTGAAGTAGAAGTGGAATAATGTGAGGCTTTTTAATGCGGCTAATATATTCAGAAATGGTAAGTGTTGTTGACTGTTTTAAACTGTAAATAACTGATGGTAAATCACATTGAGAAGTGCTCATATCACATGGCCGCGTTTGTTTTGTACTTAAACCTTCACTGCGGTTGCACTGGAGAAGACAAACTGCCCTCTCCTCAGTGTATTTCCTGGTCAGCGCCGTGTCTCGTGTTCTATACAAACCCAGCTTGTGACTTTAAATATATTTGTTAGATGCCTTGTTATTCTTCTGAGACAAACATGTTGTTGCAGACTGGACTCACATGCCTTTAATGCCAGCAAATCCCCCAGGATTCTGTGTGGATGGTGTTCTTTGTCTCCCGCCTGCTGCTCATTTGTTGCAGCCTCATTGCGTTTGGCAACCACAGTGCCTCCAAACACCGCAGTGAGGTATTTGGGGTGCGTCGAGGTTGGTGTGTAAATCGATGTGGCTCCGCTGCCGTCACCCACTGGTTGCTGATGATAACTACACCCAATGAGGGTCCTGGTGTTCAGAACTTACAGATTTAAAAATCTGTCCTGTCTATTTCAAATAACTCTGTATAGTGGATTTGTTATGATCATTCTGAGCTACTTCAGCTTGATTTTTTTTTTAATCAGCAGCTATTACTGTTTCTCTCTGCTTTTAGCGTAAAAGATAGTCTTACCTTTCCATCCAGCTGGGTTTATCTCACCGGCTACACGTTTGAATTTGCATCGTGCCGAGCCCAAACAGATGCTTTGTTTGAGGCTGAATAACAACACGTTTCAGTTGAGACCTTGAAATACAGACAGAGTATAGAGGGGTTTCATTTTTATTTATTTTTTAAAAATATAATCACACACTGATGTGACATTAAAAGTTAGGACTTCATCATGTGGTGTTCACAAATTACCTGTTATCAGGTTATGAATCTGATTTATTTTTCATTATTTAGTCAAGAGGATTTGCAGA